TCTTTTCTTTTTCTTTTTTTTTCACCATTTTCCCGCCCTAAAAAAAAAAAAAATTCGACAAGACACAATGTAATAAATACAGTGTCTGGAATACCGTCCCCGGGCATCTGTAACACAATTTTGATTCCTCTGTTTATTGATGAGGCTAGGCTAATGTCAAGGCATGCTCTCTGTTTTAGAAGGAATATGACTATTGATTTCTACTTGGTATCACATTTCCGCAATTTTCCTGTTTCTTAGCTTTCTCTTGGGGTTAACCGTCATCAGTATTGGTTGCTAAGACAAAAAGCCCTGTATTATTATTACTTATTCAAAAAGCCCGGATTTATGCCCCTACCTCAGCATTATTACTCCGTAGGTTTTTGTGGTATAAACTCGAAGCAACAATAAGAAAAACCACCTAGCGCATAAAACCAGTTGGAATAATAAGTTTTGAGTCCGTAGCATCAAGGTTTCCTGCAGCCACCTGCTGTACCACGTATAAAACGGGTAGTTACTTGGTGCAAGGCAACTCTCATGGGTACAAAACCATATATTTGAATCGCCCTTAATTGACGTGAGAGTTAGTCTGATATGACAAAGCTGTAACCCTCTTCATACGGATACCCGCGAAAAGCAAAAAATAGCAAGAATAAACCTAAAGTGGAAGTAGGAAAAGCAAAAGATGAAATAAAGTAGGAAAACCAAGAAAGAGTAATCAAGGAGAAAAGGCTACAAAAAAAAAAAAAAAAAAAAAAAAATTGTGAAGATGTTCCCAAAGTGTTTCCCTGTCCTTCCATGCGATAACGTTGAAAAATTGCTTCCATATCCAGTTTAACACCCTGCATTTCCCATAATCAAACGTTTGAAAGTGTCATATAGTTATGTTGTGGGTAACTTTTGCACTCCTGGGTTTCCGTGGGCTTCCGTCATTAGTATTGATATATTAGAGAATGGTTTTCCTTCTTTGCAGTTTCCTCAAGGGATTTTTTTTTTCATCATAATAAAAGTCCAGGATGAAGCTATGGCCTTGTTTTGTCATACGAAGGATTTAAAGAGAAAAGGGGAAAAAAGTCGAGAAAAGGAACACAGCCAGAGATAAGACGAAATAGAGAAAACATTGCGCACAATATCCCGCACCACGCCGGAGAATCCGCGGAATGGTCAAGCTTAATTTTATGGGTCCCATCTGAATGCATTGACCATTGGAACAGATTGTTATCCGAAGGTCATTCCTCGAATATTATGGTTTCCTAGTAGGGATGGGGTTCCGGGAGATGTTGGGCCTCATCATAGGTAGGCTGGTAATCCAAATGGCTTGAAGGCATGGACAATGTCGTCGATAGCCCATGGGTGCCCCCTCCAGTCCCATTTGTTTCACTACCCGATGTCAGCGTTCGGGGAAGTGAAGCCCAGCTACTAGCTGTCGAAGGGAGAGGATGCATATGTGAATTATGGTATTGACTCGACAGGCTTGTGTGGTGTGGGGTTGGAGGCCAGGTTACTGCAGATGGAATATTGGATTGACTAGCGTGTGGAGCTTCTGCTCGTGCAGGATATGGAACCCCTGGCCTGCTGATAATGGACTCCCGGCGAGAATCTGGCGGTGATAAGAGATATGGGGAGGGACCAAGTGCATGATCAGGTTTAGGAGAACTCCTGCATGAAGTTGGAGGCGTTAATCGAGATCCTCCTCTCCGGACCTGACATGTTGGACATATTTTAACAAAGCGAGATATCAATTCTTTTGGGACCCTAGAAGAGGTGGCGTGTTAATAAGGTTGACTTTTCTAGTATGCTAAGGACAGCGTTTAATGGCCGCTAATTCCTGGCTCACAAACGGCGTGGCTTACCATGAATATATCCTCCGAACTTGGGCCGAAGTCTTATCACGACCTCCATGTTGGCATTGCTGATGTGCTCGAGTCAGGATTTTGAAGAGTTTTTCGCGAATTGCTACTGGTTTCCCTTCGTGACATATCATTTTTCTCGACTGCAATTAAAAAACAGGTTTATCAGCAAATGATCAACCATTTAGAAAGATTCAGATGTAAAATCAGAAAAGCATGACAAACCATAGGAATGTTGTTGTCCTTGGGCACAAGTGTGAACATTTTCTTCACCCAAAACCTGAATAAATTGTATTAGATAAGGAGACAAGCTGAGGGATCGATGTATTCACGGTTTAGGGTATCCAAAAATAGTTTCCGTTCTGTGACCCTCTCTAAGGTCTGAAGGACATACCTAAATTGGGCAGACTCAATTGCAATATCCTTGGGATCAGTAAGCACAATTTTGATGTTTCGTGCTCTCCTTGAGTGAATCAATGCTTTATCTTGCTTTTTGACGGAAAGGTCATCAACGTAACTGTTCAACCCAATTAGCTTCCATGGAGTTGAACTGGATGAACTTGAGAACCTAAATAAGAGGTATTTACCTCTTCATGAGTTGGTCAAATTCTCGGACATCTGGGAACCCTTCCAAAGCTGGGATAACAGGTTCTGATAAAACCGTTTGTTCGTTGCATGATTCCTGGGCTTCAATCTCCACCTCCCAAAACGGTTCATGCATAGGGAATAGGCGATGTGGTGCTGGAAACCTGGGCTGTGACATATATTGAGGATGGCACTGATACCCCGTAGACGACGAATGGGTGATGAGAGAGGAGTGTTGCGGAGCTTGCGTATATATTGCTTGCTGTGAGGAGTAGGATGGGGCAATGGAGGCCGTCTCTGTGGAATGATGATTGTATGGTGCTAGAACCTGATGGTTCGAATAAGACTGGTTGAAGGAAGGTTGCGAAAAATTGTATTGATTGTTTCTGCCGTATGTGTACTCTTGGTCCTCGTCATGGTGCTGATAATGATGTGACATGACTGCTGAACCAACTGGCGGGCCAATTGTAGGCCTTTGGCTATGATTCTGGTTTTGATGCTTCCTGTGATCCTCCAAAATAGAGCTGTCAGGAGCGAGCAACCTCAACGCAAGGGTAGAAGATGGGTCGGTAATGTCATGAGCTCGGGAAGAGATCGTAGCTGCACTGAAGGGGGCAGGGGGGAAATGAGGATTGTGGGAAGCGGTATTGACACAAGAACGAGAGACTGTGTCGCATGCCATTGAAGATGGAAAGCAAAAATAGTAGTTTATTTTGGCTTTCGCTTCCCAATGCCTTTGTGTACTTTCTTATAGCCTCTGAGCCGGTGAGGAATAACGAGGTTCTTCTGAAGCAGCACGAGGGGCCGAGATGGAGAATAAGAAGAATACCACTGACAGGCGAGATGTTTCCACAGTATCCTTAACACCCACCTGTTTGGCGTTCGAGAATGCGTATGCCGATTAAATAAAGAGTGGAACTAAACCAGATACCCGCGACTAACAGAAGCGCCAGCACGGACGGAGATATTTTATAACAAGAACAGATCTGAGGATTAGCGTCATGTGAACCGGGGATAGCCTCGATGGACTGAAGATGATCAACGAGCGGGAGCGCGGGTACAGGGTTCAATTAATAGTCAATCAGACAGGAATGGGCTTTTTGCTCTAGAGTGTTGTCCCAGAACAAAAATGAGAAGAGTCCAGAGGCCCTGATAAGCAATCGGGTTGCAAATGGCTTGAGTTGAGTGACAAGAAGTCAGGAGAAGAGTACAACCTAGCAAGAGGCGGGCCGAGCTCTGGAATGCTCGGAAAGGGACTTTCCTGGCACCTCAACAGGAACACGGAGAGGGCGGGCAACGATCAAATATCAGAGAGAAGTATTAATATGATTTGGAGAAACGTTGCAGCTCTGGTTGTCTTTCTTGAATGGATATTTACCTTTCCACTCATTGACCAGGTACTCTCTAGCACCTTGCAAGGTACAACCGATTTGCATAGTAGTCAGCATTGTTTTTAAGGGGACCCAAGAGGAAATGACTGGCTGATGCAGAAAGATGCATGGATTCTGACCAGTAGAAAGATTTGACGCCGTCCATATTGATTTTTCAGGCTGCAAAAGGGAGGGATTGGAGATGTGGTGGTGGCTGAAGGGATGTCGGAAAAGAAAACATGCCAATTTTTCGTTCTTTTCTTCTCCCCACCTTTCCAGTGTAAGTAAAGACGAAGAAAAACTGAAAGTTTTCAAAGTACTGAAATAGGATTTGTCAGGGTTAGTCGATCAACCCAAGACCACATGGATCAAGGGCATACGGAGTGGCAGAAATAACCCTTTTTCAAGAAAGAAAAGCTGATCCCGCAGTCCCAGTATGGAGTACTCCAGAGTTACCAGGCCCCTCTGAGAAGTACACAGAACCGTGCTTCTTTTGGAGAGAGGTCACTTCAAAAGTAAGGCTGTTAGCCTGTCGGAAGGGTCTAGACATGCCAAAACTCGGGCATAGAGGAGCCAGGGCGGCACTAACTCATCACTAATGAGGCCCGCTTTGGCTGTCGACCCTTTTCCTTTTCACCCCTGCACTCTGAATGGGTAGAGTACTTTGTGATTCTTTGCTTTTTCCGCTACCCTCTTGATGTTTGTCACAGGAAAAAATCTTCGGCGTTATCATTCCCAACTCATAGTCGAAAGAGAGTACTCCGTAGGAGGGAAATTAACTAGACAACCTATATGATGGATCCGTACGGAGTACGGAGTACTAGTGAAGAAACAGTTTCATCCTTGGGTTGCTGATAAGAAACGCTATTATCCCTTTGAAGATGTGTCTCCATTTATAAATATTAAAACTCCTGTTGTACTGGACGCCCGGAGTTGGCAACGAATGAGGGACAACCTACGGAGCATTATAAGGTAGCGGGCGGTCGGGATGAAAGTCGATGTGGTAAAAAGAAAAGGAAGAAGCAGAACAAGATCTGGCTTCCGAGAAGCCGCGTCCAAATTGCTCTTGGCTTCAGCCCCCTTTTTATTGCGAGAGATATAATTCCGGAGAAGAGCTCGATAAATCTCTGAAGCCTGAATATGAATGCTTTTTCTTCTCTGGTCGACTGAGTTTTAAGCAGCCCGCTGTGGTCCAATGGAGGCATCCTGATAGAGTTCCGTGGCGTCAAAATGGAGTGACTGTCGGTCAAACCGATATACAGTGTATGTAACTCTGTAGTAAGCAGCCTGCTGGTTCCCGCTGCAAGCTTCCTCCGTTTTGTTTGTACGGAGTATGTAGGGAGCGTATTTCTCTCTCTTTTTCTCGTTGCGTGTATATGTGTGCAGTGCGTGTAAATGTTGATGGGGTTCCTTTTCTTTTTTGGCTTTCCCTTCCATCCCTCTTGCTTGCTTTTTCCTCTCTTCTCAGCAGCAGGAATGCCACCAAGGAAACAATCTCGAGCTTGAAAAACGCTGGTGATTAGCTTGTCCCCTCCCGCCAAGTTGTTTCGCATGCTCCTGACGAAGCCCAGGGCTGGGTCGCCCTGCGGGGGCCGGCGCCATGAGTTCGTGGCGCCCAGTGCACGAATAAGGCGACTCGACTGAATTTTTGGTTGATACGAAAGGGGAGAGAGGTCAGGAGTACTCCGTATGCTCGAGTGCGTCTGGCTGCCTGTCTGCCTTTGCTAGAGTAGTGTGCATCTGCGTGTTCTGAGTGTGTTGGCGTCGCACTGGAAGAGAGGAGGTTGAGAGGGTGACGTTGAAAGAAGAGTAGCTTAAAACGGAACCGCCCCTTCGGCAGCAACCTTCTTCGCTCGACTTCTCACAACTCCATCCTCAACTCAACGAATATCACTTTACGAAATAATATAACTCACTCAGAAGACTTCCCACGCTACAACAGTTGCTATCTGAACTAATATTATTACTAAGCTGTCCTTGGATCGATCTCGAGAAAGAAGCAAAAAAGTAAGCAGTGTCAAAAAGAAAAGTTGGTTCGGTTCGGGAGGACGATCCACAGATGTGGGAATCCATCGAGCAAGCAAAAAAAAAAAAAAAAGAGAGAGAGAGAGAGAGAGAGAGAGCGAGAGCTGACTACTACTATATTTAATAGTTAATCTGGCTCATCAGTCTCTACTCCATAATATATTATTATCTCGCTATTGCTGCATCAGGTGCGTGGTCAATCCGGGAGGCGTATCTACCGTCCCGGCGTGGGTATCCCAGCGTGCCCCGGCTGGCAGGTATGTATATATATACACACAGGTCAGCAACTGGGTAGACATATGGCTTAATGGCGCTGATATCTCTCCCCTGGATTCGTGCAAGATAAACGAACCTGTCAGACCAGCCTCACATACTAATGTACTACCGTAGGGGACAAATGTGTGCATGTACTGTATGTGAATATCTCACATCCTCGCCATGCACCCAAACACAAGTCACACTACTGACTACGGGGCCTTCGTTATGCACTCCATTCGTCCTGAATCTGGTGCTTCCCTCCCTCATCCCTGTCTGGGAATGGCTCCCTCCCCTCCGTCCCTTTTTGCTACTTGGACGCCTTCGCCTGGAGATGCCGCCGCATTGCATTGCATCTTATTATTTATGGTTCCCTGTGCCTGTGCTCTCCTGCTTCGGGGACGGGCTAGACGAAGGCGTACAGAGCTCATCATAACCGCTTATACGATGAAACCCCGACCCCAGTGGTCGGGTATATGTTAACCACAATTTTACGTACCCCTTTTGCCCGGTTCAACTACCTTTGATAGTTGACATGGGGAAAACCCACTCTCTCTCGCGGCCACATATCTTTCGGATAAGAGCATGCTTAAACCTAGTTAAAAGGGCTGCAAAATTTGACGATTAAAGTTGTAATATATAACGGGTATATGCAACTTGTGTGTCCGCATCAGGAATGCCAGTAAGTTAAAAATTAAAAGAAAAGGCATGCACAACGCACTGTTGCATACGCATCATATTTCGCCCTTCCCACCCATACCGGCCCGCCTCAATAAACCGCCGAAACTGCTGGAGTCTCAAGTCGGGTTGCCTTTTTGTGGGTGGCCTTTCTTTTTAGTTTTTATCATCATTATTATCATTTTATACTTTCATCCATTGCCTACAGCAGCGATTCGTAGGTACGTACTACGGCCACTCCCTTGTCCCCCCACAGGATCTTTTTTGTACCCTCTGGTACTCCGCCCCAAAAGTAGATGCTCTCCCGTTTCCACTTTTTTCTTTTTCTATTTCTTTTTCTTTTTCTTTTTCTTTTTTTTTTTTTTTCGTCTCTAGTTGCTTATGCCTATTCCTTCTCATTCCTTTTTTGTGAGGAAAAACGAGCGAACCTCTCCCATGGCAGGCATGTACCCTTCTGTCGTCGTAAGGGCCTTCCAAGGTCCAGAAAACAAGCTTGTTTTGACGGAATAAAGGACGGCATTCGCATGAGAGTGGATGGTGGAATAAAATTGTCGATCTACCAATAGTCAAGAATGCAATAAGCGACCTTGAAGAGGCCTACCTGGACTGCTGAGTGACCCAGCAAGGGTATGCCAAAGTAAGCTGTACTCCGTAAATAGAGGAAACATGTAGCTGACATCTAGAACATAGGTGACACCTGGCAGCATCCAGCATAATACCCCAAACTATCAAGATGTGATGCGCGGGATAAGTACTAGGGGTGAATATACCAACAGAGGCGTTGAGCACCCTTAAACACAGCTAATGGCAGAGTCAAGGGAGAAACGCATCCCTGGGTTTGCATAAATCAAACGGGATAAATAAGTACGCACACGTAGTGACCCAGGGAGAGACAGGGGATTCCGGAATTTAAATGCGCCCAGTTCACCTTCAACCCCCACTCGCGGATTCTTCTCACGCTAAAGAGTAATCTATGCTTCCTGCTTGCATTTTCTTAAGGATTCCTCCCGTATTTTCCTTATCTCCTAGGGTGGGTGCTATAGCCGATGGCTGCAATGACATGGCCTCCCTTGATTGCAGAGGTTTCGGGCGTCAAAGCTCACCTGTGGTTTAGCCTTTCGTAATCCTCGTTGGGCGTACGGGATTTTCGGGAATGCTGGAACTGAAAAGGCATTTCACCTTTGTGTACGGAGTATCGCTGTCAATAATAGGTTATTTTCTTCGTTGCTGTCCTTTTTTTTTTTTT